ACATTTAAAGAAACTTGCAAAAGGATAAAAACGAAATTGAACCACAGTATCGCATTTCTATCTTAAAAGACCTGGCCTGAGATTTATGGATTTAAGATTTTTTTAAAATCACGCTTAGGCCTATGTGTAGGCCTATATATAACGTGTACTGATGCATATTTACATGTTTAGAAGTATTCATTTTGAGTGATCCCAGGAAAGATTTGTATTGGCTCAAGAATAAGCTTTACAATTTTAACACTGTGTACAAGGTGGGGGGGGGGGGGGGGGGGGGGCGGCTCCCACGGCTCTCCCCTGGATACGTCCCTGTCATCAATCTATTTGAAACTACCTACTGTATATCAAACACCTGAACAGTAAATCCCTCATGGACATTGTTCCACATGTGACGTATATGGTAATAGAGGGCGTACTACAATCAAACTTATACGGACAAGTAATGATAAATTTTGTACAAGAATGTTTATATTACAACTACTGTCCATTGAAAATACAACATAGAAACTATTTAAATAATATATAAACAGCGACAATGAATACCAATATTGTAGTAACAATACAAAAAAAACAACAAAAAAACAAAAACAAAACAAAACAAAACAAAACAAAACCAAAAAAAAAAACATAATAAAGATAACACTATTAGTCCCTACAATAAAAAAAAAAAGAAATTATTACAATCATAACAATAATAAAACTACAATGAAAAATATGAAGACTATTGTTTTTTTTTTATTGTATTACTTAGTATTTATTATCATCATGCCTTTTATACATTTGTAAAAGTTTAAAACCGCATGATCTTATTTTACTAGTTCTACTCATTGATTTGTAGACAAAACATTAAATCATATTAAAAATGTGTTGAATTGCGCCCTCTTGACTAGTAGAAAACGCCATATATAAAACACACACACAAATCTAAGTTTGTGTATGGAAAGCAATCGCTGACAAAAAAATGAAACTGACACTGAACATCAGTGGCGGACCGTAGGGTAAATTGCAGGGTGTGCGAGGGGCGAGCCCGCCCCGACAAAACATACTCGCCCATCCCCCATTTGCGCCACCGCTCACAAATGCTCAAATAATTAAAAATCACCTTAAATCACCTTATTATTTTGCGAGTTAGCCTCTTCATTTAATCAACTATCCCCTCCTTCCCACCCCAGCCGCTTCCTTCCATTCAAGACCCTTACGCCACTGATGATAGGGCCTGCTAGTAGGAAAAGTTCGTAAGCCTACTACTATATACAGAATCATATTGCGTTCTATAGTCAAATTACAAATGATGTTATTTTAATACCTGCATATGGTTGTAGTGTCTTCTCTTTAAAAAATTCCTATTCCTGTATTTTAACAAATTTCAATTCAAATAATAATAATTCAAAATTTCTTCTATACCGTTCATATGTATGAAAACTTACTTAAATTTTAATAATTGAGATTAGGCCTATAGATAGAATACCCGATCGACAGTGGATGTCCCGATTTGTGAGAAGAAGAGCATGCGCACATACTCTTGAAAGCGCTGTTTCCATTCTAGTGTTAAATTGGCTATTCTGACGCAACCACACGGTTGTCACGATAGCAAATTTAAGCGTTGTAGGGTATACGTGATTGGCTGATATTGAAAAGCAGCCATGCGGAAATTTTAAGCAGCTGAGAGAGTACGATGCGATAGGCCCGATTGTGACTTATCCTAGATTGAAAAACTTTGCTATTCCATGAACTGTAGCAATCCACTCGAAAATTAAGGTTTATATAGAAGATTGTGACTAAGAAATGCTAAATAAAACGGAGAAACTATACTACTAATGTTTTTTTAATTTGTTTTAGCCCGGGTATGCTCTGCTTTCCTAGCTTCCACGGTCCGCCACTGACGAACATTTACAAACGTACTTTTACAAATCCTTTCACAAATGAATACGGTAACTTTTTGAAACGAATGTTATTTTATGCAGTGGAGTTCATGGCATCAAACATGGACGACGAGGTTCGATAAAGGATTCATTTTCTCATTAATGAGGTAATTGATTTGCTGGAGAACAAATAATTCAACCGTCTATGGACTTCATGATGGCTTATGCAGGGACTGAATATCTTTGGGTGTTGAACGTCTCTTGTGCTCATCTACAATGTTGTTCAGATAGTAGGCCGAGGGGTGGTATTAGTAGTTGTGGTGGCAGTAGTAGCACTCAGGGCCGGCGGAACGTCTTTCAAAGTGGGGTGGGGGGTGCACTAGTAAGATGAATGGGAATACGAATTGCGAGGGAGCTCGGATCATAGAGAAATCTGCATCGGTATTATACATTTTCTGCCAAAAAATTTGGGGGCCCGGCCATGGTAATAGTAGGCATAGAACGTTTGGATTGGATTCTGTACAAGAACATTAATCGCGCCACTCCCGTAGCTGCGATCAAGAGGAAACAGTCATTAAGAATCCCTGTAAGTAGCAATAGCTTTTACTACGAAGAAATTGGAATTCCGAACTAAGCAATGCGCATGCGCAGTTACCAAATATCACTTGGAAATGCTAGACACGCAGTCAGCCAGTCAACATGTACATTGAGTAAGTGACGTTATGACGTCTGAGGGAAAAAAGAGATCTCAGGAACCAAATAGCGGCTGGGAAGAGTGTATGATAACCAAAAGATCGTCTGAGGAACCAAACAGCGGATGCGAAGAGGGTATGAAATAGAACGGATCGAACTTTATATGCAACAATTGAGCAAGTTTATTAAGTAAGCAAAATTTAAGAATATGGAATAACATTTTATTTTGCAATCAATTAACAATACTGCATACTACAAGGATGAAAAAGAAACTGAAAATACCGGGACTGTAGTACCATGTTGTGCAAGACGTTGTGGATTCGCATATTTTAATTTCCAAGCCTTTTTAAAATATTCCCTGCATAGTTCATATGCGGTGTACAATACCACTTACTTAATTTGAGATCATTGGCATAACATATAGGTACAATCTCCACCCAACATCAAGTAAAGTTTTTTGAGTCCCTTGATGAGAACAGGTTCCATACAAAATATAATCCTGAAAGTAAGTTTGTCTTTACAGCTATTAAATTCCTCTGATTGTATATGGTAAGCCAAGTTGCCATTTAATCGTAAATAGAGATATCTTTGTTTTAAATAGAGATATCTTAGTTTTAAATAGAGATATCTATTTTAAATACTAAGATACTAATAGATATCTCTATAGAGATATCACTATATTTAAAACTAAGATATCTCTATTAATAGAGATATCTGTATTAATAGAAATATATTAGTTTTAAAAAGCGATATCTCTATTTAAAATTAAGATATCTCTATTCAAAACTAAGATACTCTATTTACGATTAAAGGAAAATTCGACTCGCCATAATCGTACGTTATTTCCTTACATATGGACATATTTTTAAAAGAATGATTATAAAGGCTCTCACCTTAGCTAAGGCAATTAACCCACACAAGGAATGTAAAAGCCCACATTGTTTGTTTCACAAAGTTGTTCGCTTGTGAAAGTACGTTGTCTAGTCATGAAATCAAATCAACTTGATTTTTCGAAAGTACGTTGTTCGTTTGAAAAATACGTTTTCGTTTGTTAAAGTTTTTGGCGGCGATTGCCTTCCATATTTGTGTTTCACGGATCATCACTCTGTGTGAGGTCATGTCATTGATTGTGCGCGTACGTATAGGCAGTTAGCCTATCTGTTCTCTGTGTGTAGGAAACATGAACACCGGATCGGGTCAGGCCTAGCATAGTAGTGAAACAGTAAACATTTTACTTTGATACATCGTTTTATAGTGTTATTGTCGGATAATTGTGTAATAAAAATACGAAATGGGATCTAATAAGAGTGATCCTAAACTACACGATTACTCCCCAATTACACATCATGTAATGGTTCCAGAAGAAGAGGAGAGATATTCTAAGCTCTTCTCTCAACTGGATACAGACGGGGATGGGCGAATTGATGTTGACGACTTGACTCGAGGATTGCGCAGGATGGGCATACATCAAATGCCTGGTCATGCTGAGGTAAATGTTCCCTATATAAACATCCCTAGGCCTAGAAAAAATTGGTTGTACGTGCCTACCTTTCTGGGCCTTATATTCACCAGGCCTAGCCTAGCTAGGGTAGGCCAACTATATTATTATTAATTATATTATATATAATAAGATAAGAAGAAGAAGACCTGGCTATGCTTGGTAACAAGCCCAGCAACAAAAATGACTAGGTCTAGGCTAGTACTACTACCAATTCAATTCTAGTAGTAGTAGTCTAGTAGTATGACTCCCCTCCCTATTCCTGTCGTAGGCCCCTACCTAGTCTGACCCCTTCTGAAGTTTAACACCACTGGGAATTCTGTAGTATCACTGACTGGTGTGTGAAGTCTTGCAACAAGCTAGGCCTATTGTTTGGTTCCACTTATAAATAAGGTACCGTACTCGCGCGAATAAGCGCTTGGCCGCTTAAAATATTTTTGGCTCTTTTTGAGGGGCATTTATTCAAACGGGGTGTTTATTCAAATGGGGCGTTTATGAAAACAGAGTGGAAATTGATTAAATGTTTTAACACGACGCTTGTTGTAAGTGAACTTTTCACCGGGTAGGCAATGGTTAACCCTTAAATTTTTGGGAATTTCCACCAAATTTTGGTATGAAAACAACGTACATTCAATTTATATAGGTTCAGTGTTGATCAGTACAAGGCTATTGTACACTATAGCCTAAATAAATCAGGCAGAATTTCACAACTTAAGTACATCATATAACATATTATTTTGGTTTGATGCTTTGTATTCTCATCATGGCTATATGCATATTTTGATTACTGCATGTCTGAGGTTGATGCATGTATTCTAGTTTTATAGTTACTAAAAGCATTTTGTATTTTGTATAATCTACTGTAAGTTTAATGAACAAACCTTCATTTCTAGAAATTTATGACTAAAAGCGATGTGAATCAAGATGGCGAGTTGGACTTTCCTGAATTTGTGCAATATGTGGCAGAACATGAGAAAAATCTAAGGCTAGCATTCACAAGCCTGGATCGTAATCAGGATGGCCACATTGACTCGGAGGAGATCTACACTAGCATGAGACACTTAGGCGTCAACATAACAAGGCACGATGCCGACAGATTGCTGAAAAGGTACAGAACGCACACATTTTGTGTTCTTATTAAATAACTAACTCTGAAATTTAAAAATAAAAAAAATTTTAGAAAAATAAAACTCTTTTGCAGAGAGCAGCTTAGCTAACGTTAAAGCTGTTAATCCTATGTGCTATGTGGCCCATGTACATGTACTCAATAACCAACACAGTATACTCTTTGGAAAACAGTAGGGGATTTAATCATGATGTACTGCCCAATTCACTACCAGAAGGACCCCACAGGAAATTAATTCCTTTTGATTGTATAATATTTGGAACCGCTAATCATTATCGTTATCCTGATCACCAACATTATTATTATCATCATCGCCATTACTCTTTGCGTTAAAAATAGGAATAAACATGATATTATTGTTATTTATCTTTGTTTGAATATTTTTTATCAAATTGCATAGCATTGAGATAATTAATCTTGCAAATACATCCAACCCCCTCCCCTCGGTTCACTTTTTTTTTTGTAATATCCTAATTTTCACAATAAATTGTATAAATATAATAATGATAATAATAATAATAATAATAATAATAATAATAATAATATTGTTATAATTATTGTTATTACTTTGATAATAAGTTTGATAATATTCTCTGTTTTGCTCTTTTGTGTAATTTTGTTTACCGTCTCCGTTTTGATGTTTTTAACTTTTTAAGGCAATTTTTAAATTTTTATGTATGTGCAATTCAACTGTTTTTAGTTGCGAATAAAGTATATTGTAAATTGCATTGTATTGTAAACAAACAAAAAATAATTGTTAAGAGAAAAATATTTTGTTCTGGCTCTAATACAATATTTATATAGAGTAAAATATTCAAATGTTCTGGTAGCAAAGACTGTTATTCAGTAAAAGATACCATTCAAAATATACAGTTGCAAAGCTGCATCCTCATCTTGTCTCATCAATTATACAAGACATATTTAATATCTCTATTATTTTCCAGTGAAATTAATCATAAAGTGGACTTTAGTAGACAGAGTTTAATATTATGGTATTCATTACCATACATTATTGCTTCACTCAAAATTCAGAACTGCTAATAGGTAAAAGCAATTCTGGAGCACAGAATACATATACCTTGCTTGCTAATTGGTAGAAGAGTAAGCTGTTTAGCTGCCCTGCAAATTTCTTTCAATAATTACTGTCTGTGTTGAGAATAAAATATTAAAATTGCCTTGTCATTAATATTAAGTTAAAATCTTATATTGGAATATCAGAATGAAAGAATATTTTCTGTGGCAATTACCAGAGTCAAATGAGAATGTTTCTGTATTCTTTGCATAGATCCTAAATTTTAACATTATAATTTAAATTTGCTGGCAATCAATATTTGATTTTCATAGTACAAAGAGGTTTTGAAGTCAGTAAAACTGGATTATTTGATGTTTGTCTCATTAAAAGCTGATAACTTATTTGATCATTTTAAATTGACCAATTAAATTTATTATTTGAATTGTTGAGGGTTTCACATATTTTCTAACTGGTACAGTAGTTGGATCTCTGATGAGTTGATGTCATGTCATAATAATTAGCATGTACTATACCACAGCCAATAAAAGATGAAGAGTTGAGGATGCTTACATTTCAAGTTTAAAAAGATGAATTGTATCGTAAAAATATCAGTTTTAATGACAGATTTATGATTTATTTCATTAATTTTATATTATTTTGATTTTATTATAAAATAATTTTAACCTGTTTAAGAAGTAATTGCATTCTGTACAAAATATTTAAAATGTATAAATTATGACACTGCAGTGTAAAATCAATATATTATGATTAGATTTAAACACCTGCCAACAAGTGACACATTATGAATACATACACAGTGACATACAAAATCTCCACTCATGCATTTGATGGTTTTTTGTTTTTTTATCATTTTGTGTTGAACAATTTTAGTACATGTGCAGACTATTTTGGTTGTTATTTACAAGTTTAAATGCATAATAACTAACATTGATATAAAAAAATAGATTTATAATTAATATTGCATTATTTCTTATAAAATCATTTTCTAAAGGTACTACAATTACAGGTATATAAGTATTAATTAAAAAAAAAAATTAAATCAGCAGAATAATTGTTGGAAAAATATCAGTGTTCACATAGGACTGAATTAAAGAATGATAAAGATTAGGTAGTCAAGTTTGAAACCCCTTTTTTTAATATCTTGATTAGTGAACCCTTTGAATGCCAAAAGTGGTGATTTTGAAATAAATTTTATTTTTGGACAGTTGTTAAAACACCCTCCGCCACAAAAAATGGAAATTTCATTAAAAAAAAATTATATTTATTTCTATTACGCCCTCCACTCCCCTGAAATCTCCAAACAAAAAGATATATTGTATTTCTTCCTTAATTACATAAATTTAAAGCATTTATCAGTCTCATTACTACACCGTTTAATTAAAATTTTATTTTTATTTCCTCCTCCATCTAGATGGCTTTGACAAAATCATTTTGCTAAATGAGAAGACAAAATTATTTTTAATTTTTTTCTGCCCTCTGAAGATTTGAAAAAATAAGTTCACAAAACAAGGTATAAAAATAGTCTCATCTTCTTTCAGAAAATAACAGCAATGAAAGATTGCCATGTACAATAAACACTTTAGTGTTGGCTATGTGGAAAGATGCATTTTAGCTTTCCACTTTGTTGATAGTAACATACCAAATAAAATAATATAACAAATTAATTTAAAGAATAATACTTAATAGACATAAATTTACATTATTTGCCAGAAAAATGATTTACATAATTAAATCGAACTAATTTTTTTATGTATATAAGATAAAATAATAACAAGTAAATATCAAATTAAAGTGAATACTACAGTAGAGGGTACTGAAATAGTAGAGGGTACTGAAATTGGAGACGGTAAAAATTATAATATATATTTTCATTTCATATTTCGTGGAATAAAGACATGATAGTAGATCCAATGTGTTTTTTTTTAGTATGGATAAGGATGGAACATTGAAAGTGGATTGGAATGAATGGAGGAATTATTTGCTGTTTCACCCCAGTGCGGATCTTCATGAAATCATGCTTTATTGGAAACATGCAACGGTTAGTTTATTTTTGAAAACAGCAATTGATTTTTTTTATGCCAATACCTTATTGAATGCTAGATAATTAAAAAAAAAAATGTGGATTTCCAATGATCATAAATATTCATTATTAATTTATTATTATGTTGATATTTATTTTTACCAAGAACTTCAGTATTGTGGGATTGTTTTGTTAATAAAGCATTGGGTCTGGATTTGAACTATGCAAATTAGTGTCAAGTACAATTTGTGTTTATAGTACCTGATTTAAAACCATTCTAGAAAACGGAGTGATTATATTAAGTGTGTTTGTGGCATGTATTTTGTGTGAAGCATTAACGTATCATGATAGGGGAGCAGCAGGTTGATGGTTTGGCTGTTGAGGTGAGTTACCGATCCTGGATTTAATACATGGGAAATGTGATCACAGGAAAATAGGGAGGAAAATGGAAAGGATGGGGGAAGCCTAGCTTTTTATGACTCTTACGTTTTGTAGCTTACATTACTGTCAAATTTCCATTTGATGGGTTGAACTGTTGAATATTTGACAGAACCTCATAATCCACTGGTAGTACTTGCGATAGGTTATGTCTCAACCTGAGCAAATGAGAATACAAAATTTCCTGTGCATTATAGCACCTCAGCATTTATTTAAATAGTTAATTATTATGTGAAGGTCATGGCCTCTTCTGATACAACAATAGGGTCTTTTGGATCATCTTGTTCAGAATGAAGAAGGTTAGTGAAAAATCTACTGACATAGTATTACTGTACTCTAAATGCTCAGATTTCAGTATTGTATTAATGTACAGCAAAGTATCCAGTTGTAGGCCTATTGATGATCTGACACTTACCATGTACCAATAATTACACAAGGTTTCAGGCATTTATCTGAAGTTGTTCACTAAAATTAAATTCATGATCCATGTGTTCTTCACAGAAAGGCCAAGCCTCACAGAAAATTTAATTTTTGTAGCATATTATTTGTATACTCAATACTCATATAACTAGCCTCTCCCTTCCTCTCCCTCCCCCCCCCCCCCCCCCCCAAAAAAAAACAAAAAAAAAAAAAAAANNNNCATCTTGGAATTTATCATGATGACGTCATCATTCCGATCAAATTTTTCAATGAGAGTGATGAGTAACTATATAGCCACATTTTTGATACATTTCATATCCACAGTATATGTAAAAGTGACCAAAAACATAAAGTTATTTCCCCTACCCCCATTTTAAATAGTTTAAAATAGGGTATTTTAGGCCAAAATTTCAAAGTGCTGTAAAAAAAATTGCCCAAGCCCTAGGCATGGGAATTTTTTTTCTGAGACACTATAGGGTATGTTGATTCAGAAAAACCAAAAATTAATTTTCCTTTACTTTTTTCCCGCTAAAATTAATTTCAGCAGTTTTACAACCAGGCTATGGGATTTGTAGGCAATCATCCTTACCACCAAGTCATACCCTACTGTTATTCATGTTTTATACTATTACTATACAGTAAAATGTAGTTATAAATTTCAACCAATGAGAGGAAGTAAGTTTGTTCACTTTAGTCAATCCTTTGTTATATTTATTCTTATTTATATTCTGAAATACTGTACCTTTCAATATAACGTACTGGTTTCCAATGTGATTCAGAGATACATAAGTAATAAAATCTACACTTATTAAAAGTAACTTTACTAATAACAAAAAAAATTTTAGAATAAGTATACATTGTACATGTATTACATATGTTGACATCTCAAAACTATAATAAACTATATTTGAAAATTTTAGTTAGCAGATTGTGGCCGTATGTTAGTAAGGTACAGTAATTAAAATTACCATAACTTCCAGTGGAAATCAATATTCTATCCATTAGCACTACCTGAAACATGAGTGAAAATCCTTGGCTATTGATTTAAATGTGGAGAGATGAAACTAGCTGACACCTGACCTCAGCAAAACGCCAGTAATTTCTGAGAATGACACTTACCTTCAGATGATATATATTGTAGAAGTACAAATCCAATCACAACATTAATATTTGTTTGGTCTTTTAATGCTGAATTGTGAAAGCGTATTAGTATTCTAGTCTGCAAGTGATAATAGTTACTGTAAAATAATCACAATTTATAGAGATTTAATCAGATTTTAAGCATAACGAAATTATTGATACAGTAGTAATTTAAGAAGTGTTATTTATACAACTGAATAAGTTGAAATATTACTTGATTATCATCATTCACACATTTTATCTTGGGGATTAATCATCATTCACACATTTGATCTTGGGGATTAATCATCATTCACACATTTGATCTTGGGTACTAAATGTACAGTAAATTTTATAAAATTTATGGAAGTGTATTTATTTTTAATACAATAATACTACAGTGCCAAAAATAAAACAAATTTATTTTTTAAATCTTGTTCATCTTGCTGGCTGTGTATGCTAAGATTGTCAAGTGAGTGAAGGATATTTGATAATGGTGGTATGCTAATAACATCAAACAATAGCTGGATAGTAAAGTCAACCAAAAAACCAAACTGCTAGCAAAAATTCACAATCCGTAGAGTTAGGTGTTAGTACCTAATGAAGTGATTTTCAAGGAAGTACGAATGGATGAGGTATTATGTAGAGTGATTTAAAAAAAAATTAGCACATAAAATATTCAGTGAATGAACGCCTGGTGGGAAAGGGGGGAGTGGGATGGAGGCATGTTTTTTCGTTTCTCCTTAATAGATTTTCCCCTTCACTTTACACTTTGTTATCTACATTCAATACTATTTATTCACCAGTGCTGTTCATAGGAAGTACGTAGAAATAAAAATTACAGATTTATCCAGGATGTTAAAATATAGAATGACAGCTTATGTAATGTGATTTTAAATTTTCTGTTTTCTTGCAGTTTTTGGATATTGGTGAAGATGTAATGATTCCAGATGAATTCACAGAAGAAGAGATTAAAACGGGAATGTGGTGGCGGCAACTTGTCGCAGGGGGCGTCGCAGGCGGTGTGTCAAGAACCTTTACGGCTCCACTCGATAGGTTAAAGGTTATACTCCAGGTCAGTATGCTGTATATATACTCATCTGGATGATGATTATAACATAATTATGAATAAGATGTTGATATTAATAAAGTTTTATGTTAAACACTCTCAATATTATTGACTGAGTACTGTACAGCAGTTTGTTTATGCAAAGTAGGCTCATAGGAAGGTAGCTCAGTTTGTCAGTAATACTGTATTTTGTAGACTATAAGATTTTCTACCCCATTCTCAAGCTGATGATTTTTTGTAATGTTAATAGTAAATATATATATAATTGTCTTACAGGTTATAGGTTCCAAGAAACAGAACATAAGTCTTGTATCAGGGTTTAAACACATGTACCAAGAGGGTGGAATGCTGTCCTTTTGGAGAGGAAACGGAATAAATGTTCTAAAAATAGCGCCAGAGACAGCATTGAAATTTTATGCATATGAAAGGGTAAGGTTACGTTTTTTATTTTATAGCCATGTCGTCAAACTCGGTTGCGACCCAAACTAAGTTTCCCACAATTTTTTGTAGGGTTGCTAGTGAAAGTAGGTCATAGAATGTATTTTAGTACTAGTTGTGTATAAGATGTCCGTGTTTGTATGCATTGTTGTTGGTGACAGTAGTGGTTCCATGGTTAGCAAAAGGTGTGTTACGCCCCCTGGAGCCCCGTAATAGGGAAGGGAAGACCCCAATCCTTCCAACTTGGACTATAGATCTTCACTTGGGACAATCAGACATAAACATTTTTGAAAATTAAAATAATGTGTTCTGGACGAATTCTGGAATTATATGTTTGCAAGTTTATAGACCTTGGAAGAAATGTATTAATTTAAAGAAAGATTTTTGAGTGGTTAAAATGTTCCCCGAACCCTGCCAAAATACTGTTGAATAAGGTGCAAAGCGTTGACAACAATCGTCTGTGATCTGTGATCCCTCATTGATTAAAACTTTAACTGCAAATAATGAACCATGATAATCATTGTTTGATACCTTTCATGTTTTGCTTAAATGTTTGTGCCTTTTATTGTTGCTATCAAAGGAAAGTTTAGAATTTTTACCAGTTGACCAAGTATGAGGCTGTATTTTATAAGTATCAGTCTTACCTGATGTTTATTCAAGAGGATGTAATAAATTCCATGTGAAGTTGAGGGACATTTTGAAACGATGGAAGGGGTAGATTATTGGTTGTTGTATGTTGATTAGATTAAGTCATGTGATACATATGAATCACATTTAGGTATACCAAGAAGGAAATTATCAGCATTCACTTGGAAGTGGGTTAATTTTAGTACTGCCTACAGTAATATACAGATGATCATAGGAATGTATAAAGTACCATTTACCTAAGGATACAATGTTCTAAAAAGAAAAAAGAAACAAACTACATTAATTAAAATAGATATGAAAAAAAAATTAAAAAAAATTTGAGTTATACACCCAGAGGGGTAAAGTGGGTTTTAAGCTTTTTAAAACTGATTGTTGAGGGATTCCTTGTATTTTATTGGAGAATGGCATTCAAAGATAAAAGACAGATCAAATAGTCACAAGATTTCTTGGGGAAAATGGGGATAAGGGAGGGGAAAGACAGTACTGTGCAAAATAATATAATAATTCTATGGTTTGCTGTAATCCTACAGATTACAGTGACTATTCATATCTGAGAAATAATTTGGTAAACTCTGGTTTAAAAAGGTTGAACCAAATTATTTATAAATAATTTAGTGGTAATAGTATGTGGGTTTTGTATCATGATACTAAGGTCTCTCCGCTTTGCCAGAGAACCAGGGACACTTAAATGCCAGGGTATTCTATACATCTAATCAATTCATTTGATGAAATCATTAGGACTCGGTATTTGTTATCGTTAATCATTATTGAATTACACTTTGATAATTCAAAATATTTTCTACACTTTGATAATTCAAAATATTTTCACTTTCTTTGAAGTATAAACATTTGCTTCATGAAGAAGGCACAGAAATTCAGATACATCAACGGTTCATCGCAGGGTCGTTAGCTGGTGCTACTGCTCAAACTATAATTTACCCAATGGAGGTAGGTACTTGCATACAATCTGTGACAGAGGTTACATACTCACAGGGCCCACAATTGTCCATACAATTCATATTAGGTGTGATGTATTACATTGTCAGTGTTATGTACATCTACTAGGGAGGGGGAGGGTCCTCCCCCACTAAAAGTTTGCTTTGCAAATAAGTTACACTCTGAAGTAATTATCATCTCATTTCAACTTTTCCCAACTAAGTCCCCATCGCTTAATCCCCACCCCATTCCAATATTTGTAGATATGCCACTGTGTATATTATGTCTAATGAGCTACCTTATATTTGAAGCAAAATTTGAGATTATTTTTTACTATGGTCCCATGTCAACCAAGAATTTGGCAAGATAACCTGGTTATAGAGAAAGTGGCACTAGCCATGCTTTCTTCTCATCTCTACCTATTTTTTGTCTAAACTAAATTGTTTTTTGTGTGTTACATATTATTAATTCAACTTTTTTCAAAATATACTCATCTCTGCAGGTATTGAAAACAAGGTTAGCAATACGGAAGACAGGGCAATATAATGGTATCTTAGACTGTGCTCGAAAGGTTTTGCGCAATGAAGGGTTTCTCAGCTTTTACCGGGGTTATGTACCAAACATATTAGGAATTATACCATATGCGGGTATCGATTTGGCAATATATGAGGTAAGGTTCTGGATAATAAACAATTTATAATAATTCCTTGGAATAAACAATTTATAATACCGTAATTCCTTGGAACGAATTGCTATAATACTGTCTTAAACTGGTGAATATAAGCCAGCTTTACCAGATAGACGATCTTATTCTAGTCACCACTTTGACTAGAATAAAAAATAAATAAATAAATAAATAAAAAAAAAAAAATAAAATAAAATAAAAGCAGTTGAAATATTTATGTCACTGTAACAAGACAATGAAATGAAAAGTATACATATGTGGCGGGGACAAGAGGAAAAAGTCGGAAGTCGCGTTGGCCATTTTGAAATATACACCACAAAAATAGTAAACGTCAATATTTTCACAAATCGAGTTTTCAGCAGTATCATGTAGTTTAAATAGTAAATAATCAGATTCAACAACACTCAACAGTTTTTTTATTACTTACCTTAAACTGCCAAAAATTATGATTTTAGAGAGTCGCTATAACACGGAAGTATGAAAAATTACATTTTATTATCCTATAAAATACTTGCGAAATCATTGTTTATTACCGAACACGTTTTAAAGCCAGTCATGTCGTGTTTACTACCGTTATAGAACTAATTTTATAAGCTCGACTATGGTTGGTCAATCCTTTATAATGATAACCTTTATTTTCACCAATTAAAATCAGGTTCTTTTTATGTAAACATACAAACCCAAGTTCTCCTTGACGACTGTGAGAACGGCCCGCTGATTGGTTGATTTGATTATTTTGTCATTTTATTTACTCATTGCGCATGCTGTAGGCGAGCATGAATGCTTCCCGCTTTATTTTCATACAAGTTCGGTTTAATAATAATTTAAATTTAAATATAACAGCAAGTATAGCTTAAATATTTATTGAATTTGTTTTTTGAATGAATTATGTTGAACTATTGAGTTTACCATACAAAACAAAAAATCGTCTTTCTGTGTGTTGAAGTTTACAAATTTTGCGCAGATTTCATGGAAACTAATCATGTTACTTAATTTATTATTGATATCGCATCTTCATGAGACTTGGCAAAAGTAGTGAAAAATTAAAAGAAGACGATGTTTATCCTCCTTTTTCTCGCTTGCGCTTTCACAAACAGGATACAAATTTTGATATTAAAACAATCATAACTTCTTGTATACTTATCTGATAAGTTTGATTTTTTCACTATTGTAAAGTTTAGAATTCATATTTTTACAAGATGTTAATAACTCCAAACTTTTTTGTCCGACATTCGACAGTTTCCCCTTGTCACTGCCACATGTAATTTGTTCTGTTTTCACTACTTTTTTTCTCCTAAAATTTAAAATATACTGGAATTTTCTTTTTATTATTGTGTTCAGTGTGAATTTGAATAAAATAAATAAATAAAATATATAAAATATGTTGCAGATAAAATCATCTTGATGACTTATAAACTAAATTATTATCATCATATTTTATTAGACAGTGAAGATGGCATGGATTAGTCGACATGATCAGCATGCTGCCCCTAGTGTGTGGGTGCTGCTAGGTTGTGGTACCTTGTCCAGTACTTGCGGTCAGTTGGCCAGTTACCCACTGGCATTGGTCAGAACAAGGTTACAGGCTCAAGGTACTATATGCAATTTCTGAATTGGCATTTAACCCTACCAGATACCCACTTTATACTCCTGGGTGGAGAGATGCAATGCAGATAAAGTGCTTTGCCCAAGGACACAAGTGAAATGCGCAGCGAGTGATGCTCGGTAACATGAAAATGCATTACTTCTTGGAAGTTTCCACTGAAATGCACATAGTTGATGTTGAATAATGTTGGTTGGAATGCTAGTAATATATATGCTGGGGTGTTATGAAGATTGCCATCCCAAAATCAGCACCAGTGACCAAAAAATGAAAATTGACTTTTTAATATATTTAAATTCTCCATATTGTAAGCTTTAAAATGATGGGTCATTTACTGGAATCCATTTACTATTACCAAAGTCAAGAGTAACAGTATTATGGCCTAAAACTACTCAATATTGCCACATTCTTATACTAATTACTCAATTTAACAATTAGCGACAGTACCTAACACAGGTTGATACAGTTGTATACTGATCCCGTTGTATACCTTTCAACTGTGCTGAATTATAAATAATAATAATAATATGCAGAAATTTATAACGCGCCAATTAAAAAAACATTATCAAAGGCGCAGTGAACAATTAACCCAATTAAAGCGATTTTGTAAACAAAAAAGTTTTCAAATTAGTTTTAAAAATTAATTTTTTTTTCTTTGCTTTCAGCAACTACTGCCAACACCTCCATGGTTTCTCTGTTCAAGACCATCTACACGCAAGAAGGTGTGCGTGGCCTGTACCGAGGACTGACTCCAAACTTCATGAAAGTAATACCGGCAGTTAGCATAGGCTATGTTGTGTACGAGAAAACAAAGATCTTGCTTGGTATGGGACATACCTAGATTTTTGAATTATTACAGTCCGTCGAAACTATGGTAAACACCTGCGGGACAGTTATCTGCTTTTTGAAGAGAAAGAAAACAGCAGCATAGCATTTCGGTAGAGTACTGAATTGAATCTGTTGTCTGGAAGCTGGAGGCCACAGTCGGGTCTGTTGAATGTCAATCTGAGAACAAAAACTAATCTTTAATATAAGATTAGTTAGTTTCACAACTCCAATGTGATCAAGGCACTTGCTCAGGTATCTAAATGTTTGCTTATTTGGTGCACAGTTTGACTAATTTGCATACTGTTCCATTTAAAGTAATTTTACCCCTCCCCTTTCCAAGTTGTATGTGGGAGTAAATCCCAAGTTTATACTAGAAAGCAACTTCTTGTTGCAAGAAATTAATCATATTCTATAAATTTGTTTTCTTACAAACACCACCCATACTACAAAAGGCCAAACCTGTCCCCCTCCCCTTTCAAATATTTTGCTCGTTCCCCCTTCTCATCCTAATTTTTAGACTGCCACAGTCTCTTTAAATTATGTTTATAAGCCAAAAACTCAAAATTTGGCAGAATTTGATTGAATCTGTGTCAGTATGCCTGTCCAAGGCCTAGTTATACCTCTGTGTATATGATGCACATTTTTGGGAAGAAAGAATGAAGGAGAAAAAAGGTTCTATTTCCAAAAATCCAGGCAAAAATTCATTAAAAAAATGTCCTTAATCATCACTGCCTTGGCTTTCATATAGAAGAAAGTAGCAGGTAAAGTAGGCTCAATTTGTGAGTTCTGGTTGGTGTTAGTGCATCTTCAAAATACTTTCCATTCCTTTTACGTGGCTGAATTGTAAAACATGTATATATGGTTAAAACAATACCAGAGATACTGTTCATCGGATACAACATTCCCTTTAATATATTCTAGTAAAATTTGATTACAGGAAACATGGAAATTCTCATGAGTTATCTGGTATTTTTAATGAGAAGAGTATCTTGAAATAGTTAAGGAATGCTTACATTTTGAAGATGTTTTGATATGGTTATGGAAATTTTGAATTTATCTGCATGTCTTTTAAACTGGCCAATTGCAGTAGATGGTGAAATCTTGCACTGGGGATGCATTGGTGTGTTTTATTGGAAATATGTACCAAGTACTAGGGCACTATCAATTAAAAATCATAATTTTTAAGCAATCACTTTGGGAGCTTTGCACCGCTATATGTATGCAGTAGTATCTAGGTGTTTTCTAAACATTAAGAATATTGATATTTTTTTTTTTACTGTTTCCTACCTTATGAGAGAGGAAAGAATTGAAAGTTATTGTATATGGCCAATAGTTACAAAGAAGAGATTTAAATAATAGTTGATTTAATGCAAAGTACTGTATTGCTATGCACACTTCAAGTTGTGTTGAGTTGTTTTAAAGCGTTACTTGATTTGCAATTAGTGAAATTTATACAAAATGAAATAGTTAAAAAATACAAATGCTCTGTGTATTATACATAGTGTAAATTTTCCATGATGGCTTACCTTAATGGATTCTAATTGTTGGTTTTGGAAGTATTTTTTTTAAGTAAGTTAAATTTTGTTTTTATTGTCAACAAAACTTTACGAATTCCAGTTTGTGTCTTTCCATCTTTCTTTTTTAACCTTTCCACATTCCAAATCATTACAATTGTGAATTGCAAATCTTTTGACAATTGACGTGTCTGTAAGACTTAGTCAAATGGTTAAATGAGGTTTTGATGTTCTTTAAAGGAGGTTCCGATTTGTGAAGACAATGACCTCGGACATAATGGCGGAACACGGACGTTTTCGACTGCAAACAATTCTGTTCTTGTCTTCTCTTTTTTTTTTCAAAGCTTAATTTAAACCCATGTTGTCTTGAGAAAGCAAGACAGTAAATGCATCCTAGAATCACATAAAATTGAATGCTCATTACTGTCTAAAGCATTTTGTAGAATACTTATAACCATTAAGAATCTCTGATAGAAATAGCAGCTGATGGAATGTGTATAAAAAGTATAAAAAAATATTCAAATATATTTTATCTTTAGTTGAATGCTCAAAGTAATAACTAATATTTATTTATTATGTTTATTACTAGCAAATTAATTAATGCTCCAATTTTGTTTATGGACAGGAATCTTATGCTGTGCCAGGTGCATATGGTGATCACACCATGACCATATATAGGCACATCATGACTATATGAATACAACATTTTTTGTCAAAGAAAATTTGATTATCTAGACAGAGCTTTTGATCCAGCATTTATGCAGTAACATTAGTTGTTTTACAAAAAGGAGGGAAGGGGTATCTGGTGGTATTATTATATGTTGCATACCTCAAACAAGTTTCTCATATATTATTTAAATGCTGTTTTCTTTCTTTGGAAACATTATACAGTAATGTTGTTATATGACAATTTAATCTTGTAAGCTTAAGCAATATTGGAAAAAGGAGAGGAAAGTATAACAGTTATTAATGTTGATAAATTATTATGTTTTTTAGTTTGGATAACTACTTTATTTTTCTAATCAGTACATTTGTAAAGTTGATAATTTCTTTATTGTGTATTTATATTGCTTAGATGGTAGTGCCTGATATCAGGCAATATTATATTTGATGTATTGTATCAAGTTTATACTATTGAATATTGACACGAGAAATGGAAAAAAAAACATGTCATATACTGTTGCCAACTAAGACTCACTAGCTACAGTATTGCCAGCTATAGAATGGGTAAATACTGCCCTCTATCATATATATTATGATGAAATGCTTGATAGGGGGCGGTGTTTTCCTTTTCTAATGTACAGATAATGTTAATACTGTGTTACTGCTATTTAAAGTAAATTATAAAGCAAGTGCCTTGTGAAGACCGAGTATAATTTATTTAGGTAGAGTATGAAATAACAGAGAATAATTTATGTTCATTTCAATGCTTTATTTATTTATGGTTGCCATAATAATATCCAATTCACTTTTGTAAATCAATGCATATTGTAATAGTATTGCACCATATGATGTACATGCCATATGGTCAACTATAATTTATATAATGGAGTAGAAAATGTTGTATAATGCTCAGAACACATGTCAGTAATTGTTTTCAATTATAAGCATGGTCACAAACTTTTACAATGAACACTAATTAAGCTAACAGTTATAAATTACAAAGAAATATTGATATTAATATTATTTGGAATTAGGTCTAGGTGTTACATATTTAATAAACAAATGGGACAATAGTTATTCTGTTATTTGCTAGTGGCTAAAGTACACAGCTGTACGTGATGGGCCTGTTTTATTCAGTGAAATAAATCACTGTAAATCCAGAAGAACGACTCCCCTGCACTAACAGATATAGTCCATACTGGTAGTACTATATTCCATATATACATGTGTGTTATAATTACAATAAACGAAAACTAATCACAAATTCATTAAAAAGATACATGATGTAACTCCTGCAAAAATCTATTTTTTATTTGTGAAATTTGATAAACTCTTCTCTTTAATTTTGAAACTTACAATTTAGCTTCAGCTTTCATTTTTGTAATCAATCACTTGTAACCTTGTAGATCTTGTGCTGTTAATGGATTTAGCTAAAAATTCCTGGTATTTAAATATTCCAAAGCTTTGCTGTTCATTTGTTTTAATCGAATTTATACTGTAAGACTGTTTCTTTCTGAGACTGTTTGTTGTTTAGACTTGGAACTTCTTGGTAAAATGCTTACTCTCTCGGTGGTACAGCAGTTTGCTTATAGTTAACCTAGTTACCATATGTGTAGACTTTTTTATGATTTGAGCAGAAGGTCGACACCACTCACCTTTTGCTATTAATTGTAAAAATATTTGCAAAAGGTCTACAGTACTTATCAAGTTGACAATGCTTTGTTGGTAATGATCTGGTTAGCAGCACAATTCTCAATGTGGACTGGATACCATGTTACACAATTTAAAAAAAATTGTTTTAAAGGAGTTATTTTATATACTAAAAAGGAAAATGAACAAATGTTAGAGATGGTCATTCTTTAAATGTATACTGTTAACTGTAAAAATAAAATATTTGAATTGTTGGCTTTCATATTTCAGTAAGTTATAAGCTTCCATTTGGCAATTGAAATGGGGAAATGATTTCCTCTCCTATTAACAGAAGCCTACTGTAAATGTTCGAGTAAGCGCCGCTCTCAAGTAAGCGTCGCACCAAGCCTGATTGTTTTTAGCTAAGCGCCGCGGCGCTTAATCGAGAGTTCATATTACCCTGTGTGTAATGGAACACTTTGAGAAACAGGGTTTTAAATGCAATGTATACAGTGTTAAAATTAATAAATAACAGAATGAAGACACAAACATTTCTCTATAAACATCTATTTACGATGACGTAAACCTATGACAGGTCTATTCTGAACTACAGGAATAAGTGCCGCTCTCGAATAAATGCCGCTCTTGAATAAGCGCCGCACTGAAGCCTCCAAAGATTTTATAAGTGGCACTTATTCGAGCATTTACGGTAAATAATAATATATAAATATATATTAGACATATAAATACTGTATATATTTGGTATACAGTACATATATGTATCACATTGATATGTGCTTCATGTGTGTGCATTGAATGTTGTATCGGCAAACCAAAGCGTGTAAAATTATTTACCTGCAATCTAATTCAAAATTCAAACGAAAGCCTCAATGGTTCAGTTGGTTAAGGCATCTGCCTAGAATGCAGAAGATTCCGATTTTGAATTCCGGTTTGGGCATTTTTGTTTTGAACTCTTGGATTGCTCTTTTTTAACATTTACAATATATATACATACATACATACATACATACGCACATACACACATACCTGTCTCTTATACACATCTAGATGTGTATAAGAGACAGTGTAATTATCGTATCAACCTTTAATTCATCAACGAAAAATTTCTTTATTTTAGTTGTATGTAAAAAAGTGTCTGGCAGGATTCGAATGCTAGGGTATTAGCTTTCGAGTATTTTGAGCACTAAATTATTTACCTACCATGTCAAACAATGTTTTTGAAAGATGATAGGCATGCAAGTATATATTCCTTTATGTATATTTGGTATAATTATATACTAACAATAACCTGTCGTGGATTTTTGTATAACACATAAGATTCAGAAAAATACTAACATGCCTATAAACGTATAGGATATAGTATAATGCAAGAATCACCGGAAAACGGGTATAGCACATGATTTTTGTCAAAAATATATTTAATTATAATATATTAGAATTAACTAGTAATATGCGCTAACGAAGTATGGCGTGTCCATTTTATATAAAGAAGGACCATTTTATGTCAAGAGAAGAATTTGAAGGCTATGTATTATAATGCTGAAAATAGGATATTCACCTATAAATTGGCTCTTCTAATTATTATGGTATTTTCAGTGGTGTTACCATACAGCACCATTTAATAATTTATTTTATTTAATACATTTATATATTATATATTCAAATTAAGTTTATAAATTAGCACTATATATATATATATATATATATAATATTCAGCATACAGTTTATAAATAAAACACAGTGCATATAAATTATGTATATATAGGCCTATACTGTATAAATATACTATACTGTTTTAATACAGTATACTGTATAGGCTTTTTTTTCCCCTATGGTATGCATGTATGTATATATTGTATGTCTATAATGTATACGTATACAATATACAGTAATATAGATCTATACTAAGTAATATATATTGAGCAGTGGATTTGCATGTATGCTCCAAGTGAAATAAAGTAAAAATAAGAAAACGATGTACAATCATTGAAGGTTGACTCTTGCAGAACACAAATAACAAAATCAAACGGATATTTCGATAGCTCCTACTAACTTTGTCAACTTTAACGTTGATAACAATAAAATAACAATTGACTAGAGTTGGACCGATCGAGTCGGCCAAACTGTCATCACCGTACAAATTCATAAGCCGGCTCTGATTACTTCCAATCAATATTGAAACCTCTGAAGTGAAGTACAGTGACATTATTTTAATGTAAAGATGTGCGATTTCTGGCTCTAAAGAAGCATTTTTTCCACGAGCGCGTAGCGCGAGAATGATTGTTTGGGGGCCCTGTCAATCTGGAGGGCCCATTATTAGAGGACTCATGCTATTATTGAAGGCCCATGATAGTCATTATTATTATTTTTTTAAATGCTACCTGTTATTTCTATGGGACACCTGGTAAGCTTGGGCCCCCGGATCTTCCCCTTTCCCCCTCCCCTCTCGGTGGCACTGGGGATGGGTGATGGGGAACAGGATCCTGGACTTCCCGTCGAAAATTTCGTACCGAAAACACTACTTTTACAGTGTGAAATAAGTGTGGATCCCCTTGTCGAGGAATTTAGATCATGATCGGGAAATCTCTGACGCCGTCACTGCAATATTTTCCGAATTGGGGTGGGGGAGGGACTGGTGGTAATGTTTAATCCCAAATGGCTAGAGTATTTCGAGGGTGGACGCTGAACTAATAATTTCTAGGTTTAGTCTGGTAAGACACTTTCCTTGGCACCAATTTTCTTTCAGATACCTGGTTGGTTGTGCACCTGTCAGATAACATCCAAATTACTATGAATGGCGTGTATGTGAACTACTGTATACACGTCGTAATATTGAATTTCGGAATGGTGTTTCTTTTAAGTTTGGAAAATATACATATAGGTAAGTAAAGCGTGTACTGTCGTGTATTTGTACAAGCCTGTAGGCCTACATGGTGTTATATTTAAATGGTGTTATATTCAATTGGTGTTATATTTAAATCCATTGTTGTGTTGTTGTTGTTCAGGGCTACATTTTTCAGACCGGAGACTGCTCTAAAGTCGGTTTGTACATAGTCCTTTTCATTCATTTTGTTGACTATTTTACAACATACCAGCAGGTCCAGATTATTCATATTTTTGCGTAAAATGGGACAACTTTTAAGAAAGGTCATTATTTGAATTTACGCGTAAAGTGGGTCCACCCAGATATTATCCTGCAAAGTTTGAAATCCTGGCTACGGCATTACATAGCAAATCTTAAAATCTGGCCGTAATACAATGGTATTAAACCAAAATATAATGACTAATGACATACTGTATAAATTTGGTCGTAGGCACATGTTTTTGCAACCTTCATTTCAAACAATGTAAATCTCAGAACTCATTAAAATTAAGTAGTCATTTTAATTAATTTAATAAAGTGTAATATTATCTATATAGTAACTTAATGCACTTTAATTTAAATAGACCTATAACAATCGCATAAATATACAAATTTATGAAAATAGAATGCAGCATAAAGTGATCTTTTTATAATATTAT